GACTCACTTCCTCTCTCTGGTTCTTTTCTCCTTTCCGCGTCTACGCCGAGAGGCCCAGCACTGCACCAAAGGAAAAGGAAAACCGACTTGAGTCTCGGAGAACGAAAAGCAAACATCCACAGAGGTCAAACATAGGAAAAAGAACAAAAAACGACGGGAGATCCCCTTCCCGATTTTTTAAGTCCGGTCTTCTCGTTTCTGTCCTTCCCTCACCTGGATCGCGGGAAGGAAAACGATCCCTTCGCGACTCGAAACGAAAAAAAGCGAAGAAAAAAACAACAGGTCGGACGGTCATTTCCATGATCGTCTCGTCGTTCGATTCCTGGATATTCCAATTTTTTTTCTTCTTATCACATGCATAAAAAGAAACCCGAGAGAATGCGGAAACCTTCCTTTGTCCTCGCCGCTCTGGTTTTCTTTTTTGGAGGTATATTTCACTTCGATGAGAAGTGGGAGGAGTTAAAGTCCTCGGGGACGATTTCCCACACGCGATGGGTAGCAGACGAGACGAGCGGAGTCCGAATTTCCACGAAGCTCACAAAATACTCGGGAATGAACGTAGAAGATTAGGGGGGGGGGGCAGAGACGCTCGCCCAGCGGGGTGAGTCTACGGATGCCATCGGATGCACAAGTGTAGAGGTCGGGGGGGAAGCACGGAATCCCATGGACACGCGTCGTCACCACGAACGCGACAGGCAGGACCGCGTTCATGCGGGCGCAAGGATTCACGACAGGCGGAGTTTTACCCCAACCCCTTAGAACGTGTTCTAACTGGTGGCGCCGCTTCCAGAGGCACGGCGGCCGGTCGTGCTCGACGTCGAGAGTGACGGTACGAGGACGAGCGTCTCGCGGCGTCGCGGACGGCCTCGACGAACGCCATTCTTCGACGTCTCACCCGGCGGACCGAGCGGAGTTTCCACCATATTTTTTCGACACTCCGGATTTCGTCGCGAAGGTCGGTTCGGATTCCGCGTTCCGTGCGCCGCGATGCCACCGACCGCTTCGAGATCGTCACTCGCTCCTCGTGAAGACGGTCGGACGTTCGTTTCCGGTCCGAATCGGACGAACGACCGAAAGCGATGACGTGCGGACGACGCCTCGGGGACGAGAGGCCGCGGGGGCGATCGTGGAACGTACGGAAAGGGAGATTGCGACCGTTTTCGTCAGAGTCCCGAGCGAATGAGAAAAATACGGAGGGGAACGAGGGAATATTCGGGAAGGGGACCTGGACGAAACGAAACCTCCACCGTCCATCCGCGAGGGTTCCACGTGCCTCCGAAGGAAGACGTCGCGATGCTCGACCGGATGCCATCCGAGCATCCCGAACCGGAATCTCGCGAGCATCTCCCGTCCGTTCTGGGGATTCCCATCGGATTCGCGGGAACAGGAACTCGACTCGATTCCCTTCGGCTCGACGTCGGAACCACGGAGTCCTCGAGAGACCGGACCGGGAAAGCGGCGAGTCTCGCACTCCGCGCTCTTTCGACCGCGCGGAATCTTTCGAGCGACCGACAAGCGAACGGGGGCACGCGTTCCTCCTCCCCTTCCCCGAACCGTCGTTGGGGATTCCAAGGGGAAATCGGGAGAGACGAAGAAAGTGATGGATTCCATCGCGATTGCGATAGGAATCCCGCGTTCCCTCTCGTACCCGATCCTTTTCCGGTTCCCCTCCGAATCGGAGCGATTCCGGGAAGCGTTCGCGGCGACGACGAGGCACGAAGGATCTAAGAGTTCCTGCCCCGCATTTTCGTTGCTACTTCAAATGGTCTTTTCTATATAATAAAAATTGCATCACCGTATGGCAATTTTAAATGGACTATTTGGCTGGAAAACTTACTTTTAAAAAAATTACTCGAAAAGAGAGAAACGAAACGAAGTCGATAGAAATCGACGACACTCGCAATCACCGAAGAGGGTAAAGGAATACGTGAAACATGTTTCGGCCTTCACCGATCGTTTCTACTACCTTGGGGCAGAAACTTTTACGATGGATAAAGAAATGGATTTGCATCGCATTCCGCGATGGTCCAGAGACGTGAGGGTTGGCAAAAGTTCGTGGAAATCGGAAAAGCCGATTTACTCGCAGATAGTGTCCTTTCGTTCTTCTCGAAGGAGGGAACGATAACCGCGGACGACGGCGACGACTCTTCGACCGAGAGCGACGTCGAAATGAATCGCACGAGAATGCGACTCGTTCCAAAGCTTTCCGGGTCGACGTGGAACCCGATGGAGACTCGGAACGGCCTCCGATCGGTTCTCGTTTACGGCTCGAGTTCCACGAGATGCCCGGAGACGACCGTCGCGTCGTCTCGCGCGATGGCGAGGTTTCGAAAAGAAACATCGTCCTCGCACGGAGGTCTCCGCACGACTCACGGCATGACGACTCGTCGAGCGAGCCTCGTCCGGCCGAGGCGAGAGAACGCGAACGACTTCACGACGTCGCTCGATTCTTCAGACGGGACGCCGTTCCCGGCGACGAATCGAGAACCCGGAGGATCGTCCTTTCGGGAACGACGGCGATCCTACGGTTCTCGACGATGCGTCCTCGAAAACGCCACTTTCTCCCGCGGAACCGACTCTCTCGCGGTCCAGAGGCGAGGACACGGACTCTTCCACACCGTCGCGTCGGGGACGGGCATCCTCGGGCGCCGTCGTGACGCGGCCCGAGACCCCTACGATTTCGATGTTCTCCGAAATCCTCGAGTTCGAGGGGCGCACGAAACGGTCCAAAGGTCTCCAGTGCTTCCGAGATGCCTCGCTACGATCGAATCGGCACGAAGTTTTGCGGCGCTTTCCGCCGCGTGAAATTCCTCGAAATGCAACCCGTCGAAGGACTCTCGACGGATGCCGTCACGTCCGTCGAAGGCGGACACGCGACGGAAGGGACCTGCATGCACACACCACCCGTCTTTCGGTCTATGCAACGTGTTACTGGATTCTATGGCCTAGAACTACGTGGGTTTGGGCTCACCATGCACGGCAATGAAACACCACAAGCAACAGCACTCCGTTTTTTTCAGATATAAATAAAAAAAAACTGCACCATATCTTTATTGGAGATATCATGGAATATTTGAATGCGGCTAGAACGTTCGTTTCACGATTTTCCATCCCACTCGCACCAGGGAACCGTCATACATAAATATCTATGCGTCAGGGTTTCGTTCTTGCGGGAATGAGGGGTTTCGTCTCTCGTCGTTACTTCGTGCGACGTCGGACGTGCCCGGGGAACGACGAGCACGGTCCTACGAGGGAGACGATCTAGGCGAACGGGATATCAACGAAACAGACGGGAGAGAAGAAGGGTAGACGGGAAGGGTAGACGGGAAGGGTAGACGGGAGGGTGAACATCACGAGGACTTTCGTTTCCGAGCTGCGGCTTGCAAGGCTAACCTTCGGCGCAAATTCTCTGAAAGAGACAAAACGACACGTCAGGACGGTGCCCCCACCCTCACCACATCCTCCAAGTGCAAAGAGAAGGAGCCCCGAAGCGAAAGAAGAAGAAGGCGAACGCCCGTCGCTTCCCTCTGCGCCGCAACGCGACGGACTCGGCATGCGTACGACCCGTCCCTGCCGTTTCCACGGTTCGCATCGACCGGAGGTCCGATATCTTCCGATTTTTTTATTCCTCCCGACGAGACGAGCGTTCGACACGTTCGCAAGACCTGGAATATCCATCGTGCTCCTCCGGCGACCGAATCGCTCGGGTAGGAGAACCGCGTTCGCGTCCGTTCTCGGGCTTCGAAGGCATTTTCTCATTTCTTTCGTCTCTTCCCTATGCTTACCCTGGGTCCTGCAAATTCTCACGGTAAAGGCATTGGAATCGGGATGGTTTTCACGAGTCGTTCCACGCCGAGCGATCCAGACACGGCTGCAAGACAGACTCGGATTTAGCCGTAAAAACAAGGCCATCGCGGTTTACGGAAAGGTGGTAAACCCGAAATGTTAACTGTCTCGGTGAAACGGTTTTCGATGTACATCCCCTCCATTCCGGGAGGAGAAAAAAAAAGGAAACGAACCAAGGGACGGAAATATTTACAATACTTTTAAATAAAACCTTTTAACTACAAAAATCCGAGAAGGAAACCGAAATCCAGCTTTGGGGTATCTTTCGGGCTCCATTAGACTAGTCCAGGACAACCTTTCCCTTATTTTCACCTAAAAGAGGTACAAAAATCCAAGTCTTCACATTTTGCCAAATTTAGCACATTTCGATAACTTTCATCTGACATCCAGTCCGTGGAGTCCGTGAAATTTGCACCATTGACCTGGAACGACGATCCCACGCCTCGATGTCGGTTGCTAAAAAAAAAAGCGTGGAAGGATTCCATTCGCGAGCCTCGCGTTTTTCGACCGATGCAGGACCCGTTTCGTTGGCATTCGACGATCGTGTACACCGTGACCGAAACGTCGAAAGGAAGCGAAACCCGTTGAAATTCGAAGATGGGAAACACGACGGCGCGTTTCACGGGCATCCGGGAGGGCAAAAAAATCATCCCTCTCGTTTCGTTGCACGCCGATCTCGTCGTGCAATCACCTATATCGACGCGTTTTCGACGGGATTTCGTCTGCGCCGCGTCTCGAAGAGAGAAATTCCTTCTATCGACGACCGACACACCCAGAGGGCGCAGCACGGGAGAAACGCCGTGCCGTCGACGGAGAAATTTAACGCGCCATCGGTGACGGCCCGAGGTCGTCGCGAGTCGACCCTTCGAGGAGAGACGAAAGGGCCACGGCAGAAACCGGGGGTAGGATCGGTTCCACCTCGCGAGCGTATCCGTCGTACCGCAATCGTTTCCGCGGCCCCCCACCCATCGGCACGACGGAGACTCGCCGTACGGCTCTCACGCTCGCGTCCGACCGGAGACGAGGCGGCCGGAAGACGGCGATCCTGCACGTCCGCGAGAACTCGGAAGTCACGGACGCGTACGCTCGCTCGCGTCGATGCGTTCACCGCATCTTCCAACGGGTGGTATTGCGGGGTGCGGCGAGTGCACCTCCGTGCACGGATACGCGAAAAAGGAGCCGCGTTTCCGACTCCGGGTCGCGTCGTTCCGAAGATCCGGCTCGGGCGAAGAGAGGAAAGAGGACGAAGCGATTCCGACGAAAGCTGCGAGGAAGGAAGACGAAGCGAGGTGGATTCGGAAAGGACTCGAAGGGAAAGGAAGCATTCTCGGGCCGTTAAGAGGGAAGGCTGTGGGGAGTGCGTGCGCAAGCCATGCGAGGGTCTCACCGTCGGCGAATCGTCGGGCGACGAACTTGAGACACTCGTCCAGGATCACGACCGGGATCGAGATCTTGAGGACGGCAAACCATTCTAACACACCCAGCGGGCAGATCTGGAACACCGTCTGCGGAAGACAAAACACGGGTTGGAAACATTAACAGGCGGTCGACGAGCCGGCCGAGTGGGGGTGGAGGGCAGAATGCCATCTCCCTTCGTTACGATGCGATCGGATGCACTCGGACGAGGGTTTCGTGGCGGAGGATCTTCCCTCACGTCGTCCGAGGAACCGATCGCAGGAGCGTATCGCTCCGGAAACCGGACGACCTACCGGTGGCACCGATGCGTGAAAATTTTGCTCGGTCCCTTCGACTTCGGTCAAAAATCGACAGGAGTCGTGGGGACCGGGAGAAGAGGGGGTCGTTCCGAAAGACCCCAGAGACGATCGCACTCCGGAAATGCGAGCAATCGCTCAAGTAAAAAATGTACAGGGCGTAAAAAATACCATTTTGCTCCCCTCTTAGGGTGCTTACACACCGGATCAATCTAGTCTAGTCTAGTCTAGTCACGATTAGTCGAGTCAAAACGTTTAGAACTGCATAGCTCAACATGCAATGACTGATGTCTTCACACTGAGAAAGTCTAGCTAGTCACCTGACTAGACTGAACGGATGCGGTTTGAGGGGGATATCAGTCATTGCATGTTGAGCTACGGGGCTCTAAACGTTGTGACTTGACCAATCGTGACTAGACTTGACTGATCCGGTGTGTAGGCACCCTTAGCAGTAGAGCCAGGACACGTACAACTAAAGGCGTAGTATTCCTTGTTTGACAAAGGATTTTAGTCTCTCATTTCAGATATCTTAATATTATGGTTGGAAAGTTCGGTGAAAGTGAAGAGACTAGGGCATGAGGTAGAATTAGCGCCATTGCCCGATGAGACACGGCACTGACTTCATCAACAAGACCTGGATGGCAAGAAAGAATGGAAGGTCCGAGGAATGGGTTCGGGCGAACTGGAGCAAAGGTTGTGAATATGTTTATGCCGAGTTCGGCAAAATAAGAGCCGTAAGGCAGCCATGGGGACGAAACACAAATTATTCACCATTAGAATGAGTCCTTCAAGATAGGAGTTATATTATTAAAGCACTGCTTTCCTCCATCGTGTCGTATTCTTTACGTAGGGAGAGAAAAAGGTTTCTCGACGCCCTGTAGCCTCGGCCTCTCTCGGTCGGAAGAGACGAGAGAAGAGGGGAAAATGGAACAAAGAACCTCGTCCTTACGCTGAGGATGTCGATGTAGAGGATCATGAAGTGGAGTGTCATGGAGAGGGTGATGGCCGACATGAGCCAGAAGTTCGTCCACGGGGGCATCACGACCAGACTCTGATTCTCCGACAGACTAGAGAGATTTTTCGAGGAGGGAAAAGGAAAAGATCTCGGAGATTCGGAAGGGATCGTCCCCGGATCGGGGAGAAGGAAGAGAGGCGAACCTGTTGAGAGCGTTGAGCATCTCGATGGTGACCAAGACGGACAACGCCAAGGTCATGGGGTGCGGGTCGGCGAAGACGTCGCAGTCGATGCCCTTGAAGTTCTCCGCGTCCGTCGGACACTGCAGGTGGTGGGTCTGAACGAGGGAACGAAACGCGTTCGAGAACCCGCCGACGCGAAAACGGCATCCGAGGAAGGCGGGGAAGTGCCGATGCGGTACGATCACGACGTTCCCGCGAGAGTACGGAGGAACCGGACGACACGGAAAGTATCCGTTAGCGCTTGCACGGGGAGTGTCGAGAGGGCCATCGCACTTCCCGGTTCGCTCTATGGCACGGCACATGGTAACACTCAAGGGACGGATCGACTTCATTCCACCATCTCGAGTATTGCTACGACCGAAACTACTCAAATGCCGTTATTTCCATTTCTAAACGTATTTCTTTTGCTGTTTTCTTGTTTGTGCGCTCCGTACTCGTGCATTCGTTCCCCCCCCCCCTTTTTTCAACTTAACTATTTTTTGCATTTAACACGTCGACCAACCAGGTAGATTTTCTTATTCTTTCCTATTGCTCCGCATGACACGCCGGCGCGTCACGTGGCGGTCAACGCCCTAAGTATATTTTCCATTTTCTTTGGGTCGGCCACATTCTCGCGCACCATTAATTTTTTCGTCAATGCCTGGAGTTTAATATCCCGTCGGCTTTCTTTGTCGTTTTCTGTACCCGTGCAGCTCTCGTCTCGCAGAAAAGGCAAGCAGCTGCCATCTCTCCGCACCCGCGGTCGCCTCGCGGAACCGAAGGTGCGGAGAGGTCGCAACCTTCCTCGCGATCCGCGGGAACCGAAATCGGCATCGACGTCGGCACGTCCCCGCAGAAATGCGACGGCCTCACCAGTTGGTAGTAGGTCATGTGAGGTCCCTCGGGGGCGAACATGTACCACCAGGCCGCGGCTCCGACGGTCCCGGCTCCGACGTATCCCCCGATGGCCATGTAGCGAAAGAAGAGCCATCCGGAGATGAGGCCTTCGTCGGCCTTGCGGGGAGGTCGTTCCATGATGTCCAGATCGGGAGGATTGAAGCCCAAGGCCGTCGCGGGCAGGCCGTCGGTCACCAGGTTCACCCAGAGCAGCTGCACCGGGATCAGAGCCTCCGGCATCCCCAGGGCGGCCGTCAAGAAGATGCTGAAATCGTATCGCACTTCGGTCGAGTCGCGTCTCTCCGAATCCGTCTCCACCGTGCGATCCCGCGAGGGCGTCCCCGTTGGCACGTCCGTAGAGATCGCGATCAAACGTCTCGCCGATCGGATCGACGACTCGACGCCGCGACCCGTTTCCACCGGAGCGCGCACGCGCGGGTCCGCGGCGAACGCCAAAATCGTCGCCGAAAGTCGGAGACGTTCGTTCCGATTCGCTTCCGCATCGACGAGACGGACGGCGATCCGAGTCGGGATCGGAATCGCACGGTGGAGTCGTCGTTCGATCGCCGGAGGCATCCTTCCACCTCTTTCCTATCCGCACACGGTGGCTCATCGGGTCTCCTCGACCATCCACTTCTACCCGACCATCGACTTTCCTATTCCTCATTTCACGTTTCTGAAGAATTTTAAACGAGAAAGATTTATTTTCATAAATTCTCTTCCCGGCTACCTGTTCTAGGTTTTCACGTTAGATCACGGGAAGAAGCCGAGAAACATACTGGAGAAAAAAGGTCTCAATTACGAGCATAAATCACGAAGCTGCACGATTTTACTTAATATTTCAACTTTTCAAACGGGCGTGTCCGTGTTCCTCAGACCTCGTTGAATCCACTCAACTAAATGAAATATTTTTCCCATGCCTAAAACATGATTCGGGCACGAACGGTGCCCCGCGAGGTACACAAGGCCCTCAATCCCTTCGGAAATCGAGACGTACCTGACGACCTCGCCGATGTTGGAGGAGATGAGGTACCGAATGAACTGCTTCATGTTGTTGTAGATGGCTCGTCCCTCCTCGACGGCCTCCACGATGGTGGAGAAGTTGTCGTCGGCCAGGACCATCTCGCTGGCCGACTTGGCCACGGCCGTGCCGCTTCCCATCGCGATCCCGATCTCCGCCTTCTTGAGGGCTGGGGCGTCGTTCACTCCGTCTCCCGTCTGCGAATGCGACCCGTCGGCGACGTGGATCCCTCGCGAGTCGCGACGGAGAGGTCGAGACCGTCCGCGTTCCGCGCGACGGAGACGCCGCTTCGAAGGGCGCAACGCGACGAGACTCGCATCCCGCACGAACTCGAATCGATCCCTCCGGCTCGGAATTCCCTTCGGAGTCCGTCGGCAAACGGCGATACAATTTCTCGCTGCGAGTCCGACGAAACGGTTCGATTCCGTTTCGATTTTTTTAAATTTTACGTGACGAAATCTCCGAAGGGTCTAACTCCATCGGGCGTTCGTCGCTTGGATTTCCATTAGCACAACTCGCTCGGACCGTGCGATCGTCTACGTCGGAATCGGCGAGAAGCATACGCTCACTCTGTTTCTTCAGGTTCTTTTTTTTTGTTGGGGGGCGGGGGGAAGGGGAGCGAGAGGGCATGATGCTTTTACCCTGCCCCCTTCTCTCTCTCGTCGATTGGGCCGCCCGAGCCGTGGCCGCCAAACGCACTGGCAGATCGAAAAACGAACGACGTCGAGAATCGATCCGGCATCGGGCGGCACCGGTTGCAAGAGTTCGAGTCACAGGTCTCCGAGCGAGCGGGCCGAGGAATTCCAAGGGCGACGCGATCCGCCGACGGGTCTCCGAGCGGGTACGCCGAAAAGAGGCTCGGCGGTCTCCTCGCGGCGTCGGGCGTCGGTCGTCGCAGACGAACGCGGACCTCCGTCTCCCCTCGGGAACGGGAGAGACGCTCACCATGGCCGTGATCTCGTTCATGCTCTGAAGGAACTCCACGATCTTGGACTTGTGGGCCGGCTCGACGCGCGAGAAGAGTCGGGCGCGGGCACAGGCGGCTCTCTGCTCGGCCGGCGGCAGCTCGTCGAATTCCCTCCCGGAGTAGCTCAGTCCCGTCGTGTCCTCGTCTTCCTTGAACACTCCGATGCGGCGACAGATCGCCTCCGCCGTGGCCTGAAACATGGCGATGCGTTGCGGCTCCGTCGCTCTCGCCCGAGACGCCGACAGGGGCGAGCGCGCGGGGCCGTCCGTGTGCTTCACCCCTTTCTTTTCTCGGTCTTCATCCGACGGCTGGGGTCGCCGAGGCCGAAACGAGAAACGGCTTCGGAATCGACCGGTACGTCGACCACCCGTCCGTTTCACCCTTTAGCCGTTTCGTTCGGAATCCCAGCGGGGGAGCCAAAAAAAGAATCGGACCGAACATCTCGATGCAGCGTTCGTCGAGAGCATTCTCGGCGAACGCTGCACGAAACACTTTTTTTTTCGTCTAACCGCCCCGCACGAGACGAGAACGGATACCTTATTGTCACCCGTGATGACGATGACGCGGATTCCGGCATCTCGGCACTTGACGATGGAATCTTTCACCTCCTTCCTCGGGGGATCCAACATCCCAACGACACCGACGAATGTCATGTTCACCTGCAAAGATATCCACGGATCGACTGCTTCACTCTGTCGACGCGACGGATCCACGGCGGGAATCGACAATGCACGCACTCGCGGCGGAACGAACGAGTCTCTCCCTCTTCGTTTCTTCCCTCTCGGGAAGAAACGAAACGTGGGAGACGAAGAACCCGGCTCGACGGCGCGGGTTCGTCCGCGTTCCTCTCGTCCGAAAGCGTAGAAACACGAGTGGCTTTTACACCCGGCGAGGCGGAATCGGTTCGGGCACGAACCGTTCCGGCCTGCCGGTACCGATGCGTCCGGAAGAGACAGACCTCGTATTGGTAGAATTTGGTGGAGTCGGCCAGGTCCATGTCGTCCGGACGGAGGGGGTTGTCGATGGTGGCGAGGGCGAGGCATCGCAGGGTGTCCCGTCCCGTCCCGTACGCCCTCGTCAGCTCCAGGATGCGGCTCTTCAACGTCGGGGTCATCGGATGCTTCGTCGTCCCCACTCGCACGTGGGTGCACCTGAGAGTCGAACCGTAGGAGTCGATCGGATGCAACATCACCGCGAGAAGCACGCGTGCCGTAGGAACGTCGGTCGGAGGGTCGGCCAGACGAAGTCCTTCCGCGACGTCAAAAAATTCAACTCGACGACGGATCCGATCCGTCTCTTCGGATGGAATCGCACCGACGTCCTGTCAAAAATCGCGAACGAACGAAGGGCAGATTCGGGAGAAAAACCTCGAGGGGGTCGGAATTCTTCTCGCTCACCCCACGACTCGCAAGAGAAAATGCAAGACATCGAGGCGCGATGACGAGCCGCAACGACGGAAGCCGACGCACCGTACAAAAACCTACATCTTCGTTAACGAGCGTCACTTTAAAACATTCTTCTTCTCGAACGACATTACTCCTGGTACTCATTTCCGACTTTTTTTTTTATTCAAAATATCTCATTTTCTTGGAACACAAAAGGATTCCTCCATTACCCCATCTTGGCCATCGGCTCGAAAACCACATAAAACACCTCACGACCCACGATAACTACGAGATGGGACACGCGATTACATCACGTTAGAGTAGTGAGCGAGATGCACGAGAAAATCATGACTGACCTATCGAGGACACCTTCGGGTGCACCCTTGCAGAACATCTTGGGGCCCGTGCCGAGTCGTGTGGGCTTAATGGGCACACAGTATACACTCATGCTCTTTCTGTCACGGGAGAACTCCAGTGTGAATTCCTGGGGGGGGAAAAGTACACAATCGATCACTTACTGACGCAATAAGTATTATTTTCAATTCCAAAGACTAGAAAAAAAATACTTGGTATAATTTTCCCCACTTTTGCTAGGTATTACACTTCATTTGGAGGATAACTTCCTATGAAAAAAAAACTCAATACACAACCTCCATTGACTTCACATCAACTACCTCTTTGTTTCCTTCTTCAATGACAGCCGAGGCAACTCTTCTCATACTCCTGACTCAAGTTTTCCGAAGTAATTTCCTCGATCTAGTGACTATTTCCAACGATCCCTTCCCCAGCAGTAGGAAGTGTGGAGAGTTAAGAACTAAGGAATGGATACCACCTTTGACGTCATCCACAAACATCTCACCTTCCTCCACTTGCTCTCCATGTCTTGTTTGACGACGATGGCTCCTGCCCGTCGATCCAAGCCGACCTTGTTCAAATGGTACGGGTTCATCTTCTCGCCCAGGACGATGAGTGCCGTCTCGGTCGCTTCTCCCACCTTCTCGAACATTTGCTTGAACTGTGGGAAGAGAGAGAGAAAAAAGCAACAGTGACTAATGGTATCTACGCAAACAAAGATCTCAAAGATCTTACGATCACTCGGGGAAGTAAACTGGCAAGTGGAAATCATTGCGACTCGGATCAAAGATGCAGCATGGCAAGAAAGCAAGTTTCCTCTCAAATCTGAGTGTTCCGGGTAAGCGAAGTGCAGCCCCCATTTTTTTAAATAGTAAGAATAAGACAACGAACTGTTTCCAAAGGTGCAATCCAAATGGAAGAGATGAGACATCCACTGAAAACCTATCATCTTCATTGCACATGATATTGCTCTCTTGGGAATCGTCAAAGAATCCCGCAGACATCACGGACTAAATGGACAGACGCGACTCGATGGAGATCGGGAAGGCTCGTGTCTAAAGCGGGCAACGCTGTTTTGAAGGACCTTTTGCAGAGCAGATTCAACCTTCCGAAAGTCCACCATCTTCCATGCTGATGAAGCTTTGAGCTTTTACGAGCATTTGGGAAATGATTCCGTGCTGGGAGAGGATGAAATTCAAGCATTGTTACCCACATAGCTGCAACCCAGACGTGCTCACTGCTGCCCAAGAAAAAAACACCTGGCCCTATAGGAGCTTCTTTGGAACACAGACCCAGCACCGGGTTCTGTTCGAGTGAGAGCCAAAGGAGCGGTTAGGAATTCGGCAGAGAGATCTGAAACCTAGGCGTGGAACTGGTTTCAGAGGATTGGATTTTCTCCACACTGCATCCCTCACAAAAACTGCGATTTCCAAACGACCAGGTTCGATAGCCGAGTGGTTACGGCTTTCAAATAAAATCTAGGAGGGGGATGGTGCCTGTGATCGTGGTGGTGGTTTGTTGGTTTCTCCAATGATAGGCGACCCACCTACTTTCATGCGGAGCATCTGCTTAGTGTGCAGTAATACACACGCCACTCGGTGTGCCATGTCTAGGAGATACAGATGCAGTACACGCTGAAAATCACTCATGCAAGGTGGGCCAAAGCAATCTACAAGCTGCCCTTAAGGTTTCCTTGAGATCCAGAAGGGTATTGCTGCCTGAAGGACCACGATACCTGTGCCAAAAAGGCATCTCCTTCCTCTCTGCGTAGTGCAATGTGTCTACTGACATATGTCTGCTGCATGTCTTGTCGTAAAAAAAAAAAAAACTTCAAAGCATGTTCTTCCAGCAATAACCTGCAGTCAGATATTTGCAGTGGATCTATTGCACAGTGGGGCCTCAAATAAGAATATATCTATTCTTGCCCCAGCAACACATAGGGCCACGTTTTCACCTTAGCCAGGAACTATGCAGCATTCCTGCATCACATTGAGGATAAAATATGGCTAAAAGGAAGGCCATAAAGGTAAAGCACCATGACCACATTGACAGCACATGTGCAGGATGCAGAACACAATGCGCAGATAGTGGGATCCTAGCATGCCCCATTGCAAGATACTCTTGCGCCATTTCTTCACAATTTTCTCTAATGATCTTGCATTTCATGGGGTCATCCATCTGAAAGGTCTTTTGAAACATGCATTCCCTAGCAGCATATAACATTGAAACAACATTGATTCAATGTTGAATCAACATCTGGACACTGAACAAACGTTGAATCAATGTTATATGCTACTAGGGTTACGTAGTGTCTACAGAACTGAACCTTCTGATTAACTCTCCCAAGTTTTTTCTGAAACATCAATCTGATTTAAAGAAGAAAGGGTCTGACCTCATTGAAATCAATAGCAGAGTCATTGCACATGAGGCAGATGGTGCTCATCTCGTGGAGAGTATCGAAGTCTGATCCCTTGACCTTCTGACCTTTCAGGAACACATCTCCAATGGGTTCATATGTAGATCCAGTGATCTCAAACTCCAAGAAGTTGCAATCCCCTCCCTCTACTTTGTCAAATACAAACATCCTGCAACAAAGAGTCAACATTTGTCAGGTTATGCGTGCAAAAGAAACTATCAAGATAAATTACAAAGGATGTTTCCAAACTAGTAATGGTGCTCAGTGGTGCATTCAAAGTACCTGAGGGAACATCAACACTCATCACAGGCAACCAAACTTCCAGGGAAAGTCTTCACAGTACAAAAATTTCATATTGAATTTAAACAAATTTTCTTTTGATAGCAGTAAAATGTTTTAACTAAAAAAAAAATAACATTGTAGAGTATCATCACAGCATCTTAAGCAAGAATAGAGTAGACAGACCAATAACTCAATGCTGCTAACATACCTCCAGCACCATTTTGCACAAGTTCAACATGAATACACAAATGAGGAATTCTTTGCAAAAGTTTCAGTCTCTCTAAACAACATCAAGGTATTTGAAACTGGGGAGAAATATGAGTTTGCATGAATCATGTCCATTTAAAGTTATCTGTTTTCCTGTGTTGTCAGGCATGCAGTTCCAAACCAAGTTTACAGAGAGCAGATCAGATGTTGGCATTTGGCATATTGCAGTCATCATGACCCCTGTATTGATGAACATATACCCATCCAAATGAGGGAATGCTCAACATTTGGAAGGAATGGTTTTGGCTCTGACCTGACAAATATATAATATTAGCCTTGACAGAAATTAAAAGCACTTATACATAGGCAAACCAACCATGGGACTAGCCCGGGAACAAGCGACTGATTGCCAAAAGGCAATAACTCACCGGCTCACAGACATCTGATTGGTGGTGAGGGTGCCGGTTTTGTCAGAGCAGATGACAGATGTGCAGCCGAGAGTCTCCACTGAGGGCAGGGATCTCACAATGGCATTCTTCTTAGCCATCCGCCTAGTACCCAGGGCAAGACACGTTGTGATCACTGCAGGGAGCCCCTCCGGGATGGCAGCCACAGCCAAAGCCACAGCAATCTTGAAATAGTAGATGGCACCCTTGATCCACGATCCACCGTGGATTGGGTCATTAAAGTGCCCAATGTTGATGGCCCACACGGCGACACAGATCACCGAGATCACTTTGCTTAATTGCTCCCCAAATTCATCCAATTTCTGTTGGAGGGGTGTTTTTACCTCCTCTGCCTCTGCCATCTCAGTCCGGATCTTCCCTAAACAGCAAAAAATTTTTGCAAAAACATAGGCATATATAGGCATTCATTAATAACTTTCCTTTCATTCATGTTGAACCTTTCTAAAGCAAATAATTTTATTCAGAAGAATAACAAACCACTGCTAGTTGCAGGAACTTTTTGAGGTATACTTTTCCTTTGGATAAATTTAAAAGATAATTTTAGAAGATCTATGGTGAAGGCAATAAATAATTAATTAGACTTAACTAAATGAATCTGCAAGTATATGTTACAGCAGTACCAATTGCAGTATCCAGTCCTGTTCCCATGACGATGCCCCTGGCCTTCCCAGCAGCCACATTGGTGCCCGAAAAGAGAATGTTCTTCTTATCTTGGTTCACTGCCTTTGGGTCAGGGATGGCATCTGTGTGCTTGATGACAGAAATGGATTCACCAGTAAGGATGCTCTGGTCAATTCGTAGTGTTGTTGAAAATATCTTCATGATCCGCAAGTCTGCCGGGATTTTGTCCCCCACTGTAGAATGAAAAAGGGAAGGAAATCATGTCCTGCTTCAAAATGTCAACCTTTGCTTTTCCTTCATTTCTGAATTATTAAGTATTTCCTACCACCACCCTTGATGATTCATCAATGTTCCCATGTCATCATTAGTGATGAAACAGGTATGCAAACACACAGAATATTTAAATTATCACAAGCACATCTTTGACCTGCTTAAGGAAAATAGAAAAGAGCATCTGAATGCCATATTGTTTATGGAACCTTGGATTTTCAATCTCACTGTGGAGATATTGAATTTTGATAAATCCTTTAATTTGTATAATTGTTTCAATAAGCTTCCAAAGTGCCAAGTTGATTATCTTCACAGCTGCATTCAAATATTAAAATATGAACACTGCCTTTTCAAGAATCTTTGAATCAGTGGTTCTCAGAGCTTTTGTCGTGAGCTCCTTTCATTGGGCAAAACAGCTTGCTCATCCAGCACGTTCTGGAAGGAAGGGTGATTGCTGTTAAAAGCTTATAGAATGAGGGCAGAAAAGAAAAGAAACTGGGAATGAATGCAGGCATAGCTTAACATCCATTCCCATACTTGCAAAAACATCCAGTAATCCTGCTCCTAGACCACAAATGAGAGTCTGCAAACTCTCTAGAGACACCAGTGGGAATCTCCCAGAAGATCTTGTTTCTAACTTGCTGGCCATGTATGGACACTTTTCAATTACTTCTCTCTTTGCTGATGTGACTATATTCAAATTTTTCCCTTTTTCTTTGCTGTGGCAGGTAGTAGCAGGAACAGCAAATGTACTGTTAGCACTCATGGTGTTCTTTTGCCATTCAACTACTTAAAAAAAGGAGAATTGGCAGCAACAGGACCAGTCAAATCATAAAAGTATGATTTTTGAAACAGGGTGATTCAGAACTCCTCTAAGTTGTACTAACAATCACACCAGATTGCAATGATTTCAATAAACCAATGTGTTTGTCAAAATTCTGTACCCTATTGGAGGAATGCAAAATCCCCCTAGTTTCCATGAAACATTATGACATACACTTCAAAAATACATAGAAATAACAGTATAGCCTTGTTTCTGAAGATGGTGAATCCAAGGAATTACTGGATGCAGTCAAGCCATAGACCTCATTCATCCTCTGCCAAGGAAATTTTAAAGAGCCATTAGAATGAGACTCAAATTTTTGTTTTTGTTCTATTTCTGGACTTTCTGTTCACTAACACAGGCTCTTAAGAAGGCTATTGGGTAATTTCAAAACAGCAGTTCCATTATAGTTCAGTTCTAGTTTCAGTTCAGGCTTTGGTCTGACTGAAGTTCCAATCTGCTTTTGTTGACTTCTACCACAAAAAAATCCCAACTGGAACGGCAACTGAAATAAAACTAGAACTCAGCTATTGATTTCCAAATGGACTGCAGTTTTGAAATCAGTCACTGTCTGCCTGATGGTCTTGTATCCAAGAATAACATTTTCCTTATTTGGCCAGAAATACCAGGGACTTTGGGATAGATACTGAGTAGACCTAAATATATTTTCCAAGATTTTGCATTTCTCAGGAAAGATCTGTAGGGGCTTATGGGGAAGAAAAATAGATTTATTTATACACTTGTGTCAATAAGCTTTACTTCAGTTATCCAAGGAAATAAGGAATTACAAGGATGGTTTTAAAATGGCCTCAAATTTTTATTCTTATCCCAAACTGCAAGGCTACTAATAACTTGATGACCCATCAGATAACTTGATGGCTCATCAGAAACAGCAGTTTAACCCCTTAATTGAATGTTTTAGATAAGTCCTCAATCAGGTGGTTGACTGAGATTGAGCCCTAAGAGTAATAATTACTGCTTGTGTACAGAAATTTTCTACTCTTTTCAAGTTTATACTTCCATTTTGAGTTGATATTTAACTCAATTTTAAAAATAGCATGACATACATATATGCAAAACCCACGAAGGGAATGTTTCACCATGATGGATATATACCATACATACTTGAGAGATTAACTTCATGTGCTCACAATACTAAAGTTTTGACAACCCAAGGGCAATATCACAGCACCCACCTCAAGCAGCAAATGCCCATAGCTAATATCTTAAGATAAGAATTTTCAAAACATGGGGTGATGCATGATGCTGATGGATTGCAAGCCAGGGATCCTATTGAAGCAACATGCATGGCATAACTATCTTTTGGGAAATAATTCTGATTTTCCTTGAAATTACAAGTCACGTTTGAAGAGCAATTACGTGGGAAGGGACCGAACCCTGATGGAACAGGCAGAAGAGACAAGATTCCAGTCTTCTTCTCTGTTACCCCTACTGAAACTCTGTTCCAAGTCTATTTATAAGCATCATCTGTCCTGTCAACCCTCTTGCTTCCCTTCTCTTCCAATCCCCTTTCTTATTCCATTAGGGAGGCAAAAGGAAAAGAAGACTAACTGAGCAAGTGGAATCCACAAGTGAGACTTCTTTTGATGTAAATTTGGGGCATTAAATTCACTGAGAATGGAGGATTGATAGGGAAAACATACTCTCTATAGACCAAAAAGTCCAAATTTTCAATAGAAAGGATTGCATTTCTAAACCTAACTCTGCCAATTATAACCCATGCTAAAACGTTGCCCATCCCACATGCATCTCTGTTTGCCTCATGTCACCAAAATCACCATGATATATTTCAAGTCCTCATGGAACCAAAAAAGTGAGCAAAAAGAGTCATATGCATAGATAGATGGGACTACACATAAGTGACCTCTATTTTTAGTGGACCTTTTTTCCTGAAAGGAAAGAAACCATTGTTATCCTTTCCATGTGTCCATTTCACAATTTCATTCACTTCCATAACTAAAAAATAGACCAGATTCCTGTGAAGATTGGTATGCAAATATGTGCATGTGCAAGATACAAACTACTTTTTATTTTTTTGAGCCAAAAACAGAATTATTGCTGCTGGATTTTTAAATATGCTTTCAGCAAGAAATATATCAGCAAACTTCAGCATTACCAAATCTTGACCATGAAGGGCATGCAAAGCCATCAGTCTGAATTTGAGTGCTGTTGAAAAATAGAGATGCTGTACCATAGCAACACAGATACAGCTACTAAATGAACTCACAAAAGAACACATCTGGCAATCCCACAAATTGGACTCACTCCTGAAATCCTAAACTCTAATTACATGTCACATCCTGCAAATGTTCCCAGCAGTCATTGAAAAGAAGGCCACTTGACAAGACTGGACTTTCCTTAAGTAGAGGTCAACAAAAAAAAGAAAAAAGTCACTGACCAGAGATTTCAACAATGTCACCAGGAACGATGTCACGGGCTCGAATTTTCTGCACACCATGCTTGCCCTGTCGAATGACCTTCCCCATCTCTGGCTCATATTCCTTCAATGCTTCAATGGCTGATTCTGCATTTCGTTCCTGGAAGAACATAGTAAAGAATGGCATGCATCACAAAATGAACTATAAAAAAAATTAAGGCACAGGATTTGAAAGATAGGGGAGTTTCTCAATCTGTCCACCAAGGAGGTCACAGAAATAATACATATTTTGACCACATTAATTAATAAAAGCGTTGCTAAGAAATTTGATAGCAGTCATGCTTTCTTGACACTTTTAGGTTCACAAGACAGTTGTGAACATTGAGGACCATGTAGAAAGTCTCTTCCTGCACTGAATGGACTTCTTGAGTGCATGTGACAACACAGGTTTGAAATTTGGCTTCAAAATCTCCATCATCTTGAATATACAGGGTGTCCATAAAGGTATGACCCAAAAATAATGTCATGCTTCAGTAGTGAAGACTTTTATTGCCATGATGCTTCGACTCAATAAATGTAGATTTTTTGTGGTAAAGCCTTTTGTCAGAAATATTCATGTAAGTCCTCCTCGAGTCCACCGTCTCCCCAACAACAAAATTCTCAGTGGTACTAGAGTGCCATCCATGAGTTTTTCCTGTGTGATGCTGGTGAATGCTTCATGTATGCTGTTCCTGAGGTCTGTCACAACACAGTTTCTTGACATACACCTTTTCTTTGATATGACCCCAAAGAAGCCCATAGGGGTGAGATCAAGAGAGTTTGCATCACACAGGAAATGTTAGCAAACAAGTGGGCAGCACTCTTGTACTGCAGGGGATTCTGTTGTCAGCGAGATGGTGGACATTTGGAGGACTGACATGGACACTTCTGATAAAAGACCTTATCTCAATGTAGCCCCTCTCACAATGCAGTACAGAATCAAACTGAAATACAAGTTAGTGGAAATTGCTCTTCAAATAAAAAATATACCACCTATGAACCCTCCCACCTTTAAGGATTGTCAAAGTGGTAAGCAATTGAACTCTCAATCTCTGGAAAGGTACTGTCTGAATAAGAAACAAAAAGAGAGCAAAATCCCTGGACAGAGATCACAGGGTGCCTTTATTTAGCAGCTTTTGTACTTTCCTGCTTGTCTTCCCTGTCATAATACATCTATAGTCTCCAGAGTGTGGGAATTCACATAATGAATCCCTACACTTTCATGACGGGGGGGGGGGGGGGGGATTTTATTGTTA